TGCGGCCCGATCTAATTGAAATGTTGCGCCAAATTTTAAAATATTGCGCAAATGCGCAGCCTGGTAAGAACACTGCTAATACATTGTTTACAAAGTATTTAGTAACCTTATCTTTTTAGCATCTCTGTTTGCTGGCAAAGCTCATTAGCTGATTTTAAATGATATATGATAAAGGTTTCTTGCCACTAGGAATGCAATTGCTTCTTTAAGCAAGACATCGTGCACAAATCTGGTTGCAAAACTGTAAATAAAGCCGTAACATCAGTTATAAATACATAGGTATGTTTCTATAAAACTTTCCCTGTATATTATATCAAAATGCAATAAACACCTTGCAACATGTAATACATTTTTGTCTAATAAACATTTTCCTTCCTCTAAAACTAAGCTAAATAAATAAGTAAAATAAAAAGTAACTCACTAAATTTGTGAAGCTATCACTTCATCATTACAATTTTGTGGGGGGGTGTACAAACAAACCTTGTACACACCTCAAAAATACTGAAAAATAAAATAGTACACAACAAATAAGAAACTAAGTACATTTCAACACAAATGTGAACATTTTCAAGAGTATGCAATGACAAAAATAATTTTACACTGATAGACGTGATAAGAATTTTTCCTTGGCAAGTTATCAAGCAGGCTGCAAAATGATACATTGATGCTTGGATAATATAGTCAATAAGCTAGCATTGAATCATAAATGACTTTGATATTTTCAGCAAAATATGTTTTTTCTCAAGTTGAAGAAGGAGTTGTTCTGAAGCCTGAAACTAAATTTCTACACAAGACACTTTCCATTCTGCAAAAATCATTCGTGCATACATGCTTCACAGGCAGAATCATTTTACTAATCATGTTTCATTGTCATTGTTTCACACTGCCATAACCATAAAAAAATAAGGGTTTCCTTTTACAATGTATTATATTGCATAATGTCTTTGTGCTTCATTAGGTGGTTTTTGCAGTGGGTAATAAGTAATAGTAGCTCAACCAGAATTTGATCTTCAAGATCTTATTTCTACCGACGTTTCAACAATTCACAGATTGCCTTCATCTGGGTCAATCAACTGGCAGAAATGAATGTTTTTTGCAATTTGTATTGTACTATCCATATGTTATAAAGATGTCATTATACTGTAAGGATAAACAAAATCACAATTATTTCAGCAATATTATAACAGATCAAAGAAAGCTTAGAACCCATGTGTGCCAAAGTTATTGGAGGCATGAAGTTAGCACATGTGATTCTATTAGAGAAAATACAGCATTTAAAAATATAACTGCATGCAATGATTAAGGTAGCTATAGTTCATTATAGCACCAGTTACATGTTCCTACCTGTAGCATTTTTAAAGATATTACAGTTATGGATATTATTGAGGTAACATGGCCATATGTAGTTATATCACATTGATTTCAACCAAAAATCTGTTAAATGTTACTTGAGAAACAAGTGAAAGTTGGTTAATTGATATGCCAATTAGAGTATAAATATTGTATGCACAGGATTTCAAACAAAACATAATCATGTTTGCACACTGTTCCAGAGCATCTATGAACCCAGTTTTAATGAAATGCTAAAATTCCTTCTCTAAATAATGGTGGGACAGACATACACACATAAGCAGGGTAACTGCAAAAACTTCCATTGCTTCACAAAATAATTGTCAAATTTGGTGCTACCATATGATGGAATAAATTACAATTTTCAAAATGCACCACAATAAAAAAAACATTTTACCATGATTTATATTACATGGGCAAAATAGTTTTTTTTACTTTCAGAATGCCACATTACAGGATTTGTTCAATCATAAAGAAATCTGAATAATTAGGAAAATGCACGACATATTTTTTTTTTCTCATATAAGTCATGACATGGCATATCGATAGTCTCTGGCTAAGTGCATGTGTACATGATAAACAAGGCGAGGCAACTGTTTTGAATCTGATCTGAAGTAGTTCAAAGTAAATAAAGTTTGAACAAAAAATGTCTATGCATCATCAATATCTGGTTCCTGGGTGGTTTAAATGATTTAATTGTAATTTGTTCAGCTTTCAAATTGACACTATTTCAATTTGATCAATTCTTGTGCGACATGTTTTTTTTTTGTCTTGTATGTGTGGATGTGAAGTTTGAACATGATTGCTCAAGGCATGTCAGAGATATTCATGTAGCTCTGGAACAGCCAACAAACGGCCATATTAAATCTGATCAGAAAAACAAAAGGATGTGCATCAATATAAAATCTGTTCATTCATACACACATAACAGATTTCCAGTTCCAGAATGGCAGAAATACTTCACTTGAACAAATATGTAACACTGCCATACATATCCCAAATATATGAAAAACAAAACCAGAACGTCAATGACGTAGATGCTCATCCGGAATTTGGATACGAGAGGAGAAACTTTTAGCTGCTTTTGTTTTTTTATTTTTCTGTTAGTTTTGAATTGACATATTGTCATAGGAAAAACCAATGGTGCTGCGTAGATGGAGTCATCATTATGTGTAGTTAGCATCTGTACGAGTTAAAGTGTAGTAAGAAGACCTTCTAAGGTAAAGTGTGAATATAGGTTGTGCCCAGAAACTTTGACCATTTAGGGGGAAAGTAGATGAAATAAAGGTTATCAAATCAAATGAACCCTTATTAAAACAAGCGACCTGACGCTCACAATAGCTTCGCTGTCTCCATAGAGCTTGGTGATGCTATCATGATTATTGAAAAGGTTATTGAATGACTCTTACAGTGGATAAATGTAAATAGAGCTAAATGAACAAATCTAACAAAATCTTTGCAAGGTATACAAACAAAGTGATTGTGTTTCAAGAAAAAGTCGAAAATAGCATAAAATGAGGCAACATAAAATGAACAAATCAGACAAAAATCGTAAAAGCTCAATTTAAAATCGCTTTGTATCACTCATCATTGACAACGCTTAGGCAGAAAAAAAAAAATCTTGTGTTTTCAGTAACGGCCCCCCCCAAAAGATAGGGCAAGGTGTGTTTTTTTAATGAATCTCCACAAGTCTGTGCATAGTCTATTCACTATGTTATTGTAACATTGCATAATAATAGTCTGATTGACTAGCATAGCACTACTTAGAAAAAAAAAAAAACTTTTATTTTTGTACCAATGTCATACAATAGGATATTTTGAATTATCTTTTAAAAAAAAAATTTCAATCTAATGTTTGTGTTTAAAAAACTAAAAATGAAAAAATACAATGCATTACCATGTTTCAAAATTACTGTTTTCAAAAAGTAGAATCTACTGACTGCAAATAAAATAATTATTTTGTCACACTGCCTGATGGGTACTGAGGACAAAAGTCACAGGAAGTACACATGCTGCCATGCTGAGTTGTTTTTTCAGGGAGCTTTCTTCTGCAGCTCCGGGTTTTCAAAATTCCGGAATCTTTTTTTTTTACATCATGCCTTTTATTGATGGTGATGTTCTGCGTTCG